GTTGTAGCCCTGCAGGTGGGGCACAAATCAATAAAAAAATAGCAATAGTCCTCCAAGAATATTTTTAGTTAATTGTCATTACCTAGTTTACTTTTCTGGGAGATAAAAAAATAAATGATTTTCAGTTTTCAAACACTAATTTGGGACAACAAAGATATATAATTGGCACATTGCTCTTTGTAGTCTAGATCATTTTAAAATTAGATCCAGGAAAGAGCCCTATTGGAATAGAACATTTTCCAGAAACATCATTGTCCATCCCTTAATCTGGGAAGTATGAATTATTATTCATTTTGACTGAATTGTAGTTTATTTTTGCTTGAGACTAAACATGTTTCATAATAGTGTGGGCTTAGTCCCTTGCCAATGGGTGATGCATATGTCAGTCCTCAGACTTTGCTTCAATGTGGACCTGGTTTCCCTGACAAAATAGGATGTTTTTGAGGCCCATTTGGAATTTGGAACGATGTCTCATTCCTCTGGCAATCTCACCTGCATGTCAGCCAAAGTACACTGGCTGTCTGTCATCGTTCTTGTGAGGACAGGGCTTTGGTACTGTAGCTGCAACTTCTTCCATGAACTAAGATATGTGTTCTGCTCTGAAGGCGCTCAAAGATCTGTGGGGGAACCAAGGAAGAGAATGGATACATTGGAATTGGACCCAGGGAGTTCTGTGACAATGGAAATCACAGCAAGTTTTCAGTACACAATGTCTAAACCTGCTTTGCCTGGCAGAGTCAAGGTTCCCTTTATAGGGAAAGGACATCTGTCTTGGGAATAGACTGAGGAGTTCAGTTCTGTCAGGCAAAGTCCAGCCCAGGAGGTGATGAAGGTAGGTATGTTTGGTCAGGGAGTCAGGATGCCTATGACAGTACTGGCTGAGCATCCCAAGGAATGACAGGGAAGGTATGAAGGTGGCCCTAGAGCCCAAGAGGAAAGCTTGAACAGAAGCACCTGGGCATATCATGAGTAACATGGCCATCTACGCTCTATATTTAGTCTCTAGTGCAACACTCTCTTCTAATAACCTACAGGGCAATGTAGGTTATTTTTTTAATAGAAGGATCACCAAGCTTAGACTAGAGAAATGCAAATGACTCAAGTGTGCACCAAGGACAATGAGCTCTTCCTAATTCATAGGAAGCATGTTTCTGCTAAGATGAGCTTTTGTCCAGCCTTGCTGCTAAAAATCTCCCAATAAATGCTCAGGTAACTGGAATGCCTTGTCTATCAAAAAAGAAAAGTAACAGTGAATAAAATTATTGCCAAAGGAAAAGAAATCCTAATCCATGAAAGATTGCAATTGTATGCTTGTGACTTTGGGTGTTTTTATTAAATCTATCTTCTTGGAGACTTTTAGGTCTGTGGATGTGGCATTCACAAGTCCCCATGGTTTAATCCCTAGGAACACATATACTGGCTGTGGTACTGTTCACTTGGAATCCCAGTACTTGAGAGGTAGAGGTAGGAGGATTAGAAGTTCAAGGTTATCATAGGCTACATAGTGAGTTTGAAACCAACCTGGGTTATGTGAGATTCTAATAAAAAATTAGATAATAGATAGATAGATTTATGATGTATAAATTTTGGCCTAGAATTTGCTTTATAACCTTATTTGGCAAATGTAGTTAGTTTTATTGATCTGGCTGGACTGGCTAGCGATTGCTGGGTCCCAGTGAGCATGGCCTTGTTGCAGCTATTCGGGTCTGTTGGACTTCACCCTGAACTTTGGTGGTAGCTTTATTTCACATTACAGCTGGGTCTTTTTGTTGTCTGGTTCCTATTGATCAGCCCAGTGGAAACTTATGATCTTTGAGATAAATATTTTGAAGCAGAGAGGACTCTGCTGCTCCTACTCTTTTAATTGATTTTAAAAATTATTTTGAGATTATAACATAATTACATCCTTTCCCCCTTCCCTCTTCTCCCTCCAATTCCTCCCATGCATTCCCTTTACTCTCTTTCAGATTCTTGACTTCTTTTTTCTTTTACTGTTTATGTAACTATATATGTTTATATATATACACATATACACATCTATATAGTTTCAAAATATATAAACACAACCTGCTCAGTTCATATAATGTTACTTGTATGTGGATGTTTTCAGTGTTGGATATTCAATGGGTGTGTTATTACTTGAGGAAGTCTCTCTCTCTCTCTCTCTCTCTCTCTCTCTCTCTCTCTCTCTCTCTCTCTCTCAGAGTTCTTGAATTTGATATGGAGCCAAGTATGGCTTTAAACTTTTGTTTCTCTTGCCCCAAACTTTGGATTACTTATGTATGCTGCCATGCCTGGTTTCTGTGGCATTGGGGATCAAACACTGGGTGAGTTACATCCCCAGCCTCTAGAAATGGAAACTGAAGGAGAGATCCTGTTCACCCAAATGAATAAGAAAGTTTCACATTCCCCAGACAGGGAGATTCCCTTTAAGGCCCTGGACACAGAGAGGGAGTTAGGTCATGTTATAAGTGACTGTTTCCTGCAGGTATGAGGCAGCGAGGTATGAGAAAGCTGAGATCTGAAAAACACTTAAGAAAACCCCCAGGCATGATGCTGAGCAATCCTTGAATATGGCAGGTGAGGCAGAACCAGAAATCAAGGGCTGTCATTCTAAAATGCTCTGCTCAAGTAAGGCATTCGTGTGGATGTCGGCAGGAAGTTCTGCTTTATTTTCTTCTGTTCCCCTTTCTTGAGCCTGGTTTCTTAAGGCAGTGACAAAGAAAGGAGAGGAGAAGGCCAGCAAGATGTCAGAGCCCACAGGATGAGTCATTGGGTGTGGCAGTCACTTGTGCAACACGAGCTGGGGAGGAAGTGGAGTGCAAGGGAAGTCAGCGTCGGATCAGATCGCTGTGATTTGCTTCATGCTGATTTTTCCTGAGGCAGTCAGGGAGAATGAGCATTTCGTTGTTTACGTTCTCACCTAGATCAGTATGTAATTTCTCTTCTACTCCAAAGGATGTGGGATGAGGAGAGGGAGATGGGAAAAGAGAGAGGGAGAGAGGGGAGGAGGGAAGGAGGGAGGGGAAGAAATCTGTGTATCCCTCTTGTACTCTGGCCTTCTAGCAGATATCCCACCTCCCAAGTAGTGCTGGGTTTTTCATTTATTAATTAAAAAATAATTTATATTGTGAAAAGGGTGGGAGGGGTAAATAAAGCAGAAACACATAGCTGTGAAATGAAAGCAGTCTGTTCTGGAAGTAATCCAACCTTACTCAGACATTTGCAGTACACAGGCAAACATATCCTATTTTTCCTTTTACACAAGCGAAGTTTTCCATTTTCTCCAAACACTTACTTAAACAATTAATTACATTTATTTATTTGTGTGGGGGAGCATATATGTCACAAGTACATGCAAGGAGGTCAGAGGATATAGCTTGTGGGAATTGAACTCATATGCCCCTGCATGGTGGCAAGCCCCTTTACCTGCTAAGTCATCTCATTGACCCCTTAGATCTTTATGCCTTGTCTTTGTTCAGGGGGTGCCAAACTCCATGTGCGGCTCTGAGGTAAACTCTCCTGCCAGTGGATACTTTAAACAGGGATCACATGTGGATCTGAGTACCAGCTCCTTTCCTTTGCTGCCTCAGTTTCCCCTCCATGAGATGGGGAATGAGGGCCTCTGTCTCCTGGGTGTTGCAGTGAGGAATAAATCAGACATAAGGCACACAGAGAGGGCTTGGGACATATGCTGTCAGGGTGCCTAGAAATTTAGCATGTGTTGATTTTCTTTTGAGTGTGAGGTCCAAGCTTGGAGAGGCCCCCTCTCCCCTCTTCTTGTCTCCAAGTAGAGCTCGAACCCTTGGAACATCTGGCTCCTAATTTTTACCTTTGTTGTCATTCAGCAATGTTGAAATGATGTGGGATGTCCTCCTGTCTGCTGTGAGTATGTGTTGCTCTCATTGGTTGATGAATAAAGCTGCTTTGGCCTATGGCATGGCAGAAAAAAGCTAGGCAGGAAAGCCAAACTGAATATAGGGAAAAAGGGTAGTGTTGAGGGAGACGCCATCCAGTCACCCACCGAGCAAGGTACCAGGAGACCGGTAACACCATGGCCACATGGCAAAATATAGATTAATAGAAATGGGTTAATTTAAGTTGTGAGAGCTAGTTAGTAATAAGCCAATGGGAAAAACATTTATAATTAATATAAGCCTCTGAATGATTATTTTATAAGCAGCTACAGGACCGGGTGGGATGTAGAAAAGCCTCCAGCTACATTGAAATGTTTCTCAGGCTATTTTTATTTTTTAGAGACTCAGCATTAGCCATTGAGTTTTTTTTTTACATTCATTGAGAATTCTATATATACAATAAAATATTATCATATATACCCCATCTCCTCCCCAATTCCCCCATGTCTGCCCAATACTTCCCTCTAACTTCATGTTTTCCTTTTTTTTCTCTGTTTTTGGGTAACTCATTAAAGTCAATTACTTCTGCCCATATGTGCATGCGTGTGGGGGCCCAGCCATAGAAAAAAATCTTAACTTTCAGGTTTTGGATTTCTATGTCATAGGCTTTGGGATATGCAGAGAAAATGCAGATAAGATTTCTTAGTAGAGCTTATGGGCAGGGGTTAAATTTGTTATTTTCTAATGATACATTTTTATAATATTCTAAAGTGAGGAGTGTACACATACACACTCATGTACATACAAGAACAGATGTACACATACACATGCACACATAGACACCCATGCACAGACAAGCACACACATAAACACCCACACATAGACATGCATTCACAGACATGCACACACCCACACAAATACACACACAGGCATACACACACACAATACACACATGCACACATAGACATGCACACACATGCACACACATACATGACACACACACAGAGGCACATACACATGCACACATATACACCAAGAACCTGTCCTAATACTGTCACATGCTGGTGAAGCACCTTCCTTTTGAAGACTACAGGGATCGGAGAGTACTCCATGGGTCACCCTTTCTTATTTGCTTTCCTGCAGGAACACACTGTGAACTGTACAAGGACCCCTGTGCTAACATCAGCTGTCTGAACGGCGGTACCTGTGACAGCGAGGGCCTGAATGGCACATGCATCTGTGCACCAGGGTTCACAGGTGAGCGATCCATGAGTGTGTTTTCAAACTCACCACATAGTCCCCACTGTTTCCGAGGCCAGACAACCCCAAGCCCTCTGCCATGAGCAATTGCAAAGCAGGGGTGCTGTTGAGAAATGTCAGGAGACATGGCTTCAGTGAGATCTATTTTAAAACAATAGATTATGTTGTCATTAAACTAGGCGCTTCTGAAGCCAGCATTTGTTGATTAGATTTGCTGACACTGTCATCACGGCACACTTGCAGAGTAGGAGCCTTTATGAGAACACTTGGCAGTGTTAGTGTTAATGTAGTATGAAGTGGGCAGGAAGGCTCGAGTGTTTTCTGTGTGAACTCCATTCAAACACTGTTTTATTTTTATTGAATGCTGTAAAAGTAAGAGTTTTGAGAATTATAGTCAGTGGGTGGTATTGTGGAAGGAAGGTTTCAGGATCAAATGGGAATGTGGGGACAGACTGGAGTGGTAGCTAGCATGGGCTGGGACAGTTGCGGACACAGGAGCTGGGGTCACCCTAGTCTTGATGGCTTCTGAACACTGTCAGGGAGTGGCTTCTATATTGGGGGAATCCAAGCTAACATGGTTTTTCTTTTTGTCCAAGCCTCCACCCTCCTGAGCTCAGGGAGCTTGCAAGTCTGTGAATGTAGAAGTTAAAATGTTATGTTGGATGTGTGTGCTGAGGAGATGTTCTCAGTTTTTATCAGATTCTCAAAAGAAGTCTGAAACCATGAGAGTCCAGAGTATTCAAATTTAACCTTGATTTTCCCCGCAGAACTCAGAAGTCTTGAAAACTAAAGAATAAGATCAGGGCCGGGAACACAGCTTTGTAGGTAAAATGCTTCTGTACAAGCACGAGGACCTGAGTGATGTCACTGGGACCCACATACAAAAGCTGAGCGAGGGGCACACTTGTCCTCCCAGAGCTGGGAAGGGGAGACAGGCAAGTCCCCTGAGCTCACTGACCAGCTAACCTAGCCACTTGGCAAGTTCCGGGCCAGTGGTAGACCCTGTCTCAAAGCAGAAAGTGATTGGTTGTCCCTTGGGGCCCACACACATGAACACACATGAACATTCATGCACAAACACATGCGTGTCTATATGTTCATGCAATACACGATACACACATACATGCACATAAAAGGAACACAAGGTGTATTCTTTTGGTATGTTGTTAAGTCACTAAGGTGGAGGATTCCTCCACTATAGGTCTGGGAGAAGACTGCACATGGAAGAAGGCAGATGCTCTGCAGAGAATCACGTGGTGTCCTCTGCTGGGGACTACCTAGCTAGGCTTGACCTTTCCTTCCGGGACACTGTGACCCCCTTGAAACTCTACAGCACTTTGCAGAGTCCACTCTCTAGTCCTTCCAGCGGAAGCCAACAGCTGGGGGAGGATCAACTTCTGAGTTTTCTTCTATTTATCTGTTTCACACCCTGTGTTTTCCTTCCGGATTGTCCTGAGACTGAGAAGTGGGCTTGCTCCAGAAAATGATTTGCAGATGGTTTTGTTTATCTAGTGCTTTATAAACACAGACATTTATATATCAGTTAGTGGAGGCAAAAATATATTGGGGGGCAGATTCCTGGGTCTTTTCCAGATTTTTCTGTCTTACCAGTAATAAAAAAAATAAAGCATAGAAGAAATTAGGAGATATAAAGCTATTGAAATAACTCACTGGTTAACATCATAATGCTGGGAATTTAACATTGTTAATATATTGACATCCAAGAGTTTTCCTGAAGGTCTATGAATAGAATATGTATATATGTATGTGTGTACATGTATGGACACAAATGGAATAATAATATCCATGTTACTTTGTAGCCTACTTTTAACCTAGACTAAATAAATAAATAATTAAATAATAAATGTGTTTCCATACCAAGAATTACATCTTTAAAATATTTATTTTATGTGTGTGTGTGTGTGTGTGTGTGTGTGTGTGTGTGTATGTATGTGTATGTATGTGTGTGTGCTTGCACATGAGTGCAAGTACCCACAGAGGCCAGAACAGGGGGCATTGGATCACTGGAGCTAGAGTTATAGGTGGTTGTGAGCTGCCCAGTGTGGGTGCTGAGAACAGAACAAGGATCTTTTGGAAGGGCATCCCAGGTCTTTATTTTTAAAGCATTTTTATTGGTTGGCTTGTAGTTCATTCTATGAGATGTCATGATTTATTTTTAATTCATTTTCAATTTTATTTTTGGGAGTTAAGAATGTTTCCAAATTACAAATAATAATGAAAGGGAAGTTTTTACACCTGTATTTTTCTAAACATGCTCCCTGCCGCTTTAGTACAATTATCTAGGAATAGAAACCCAAGGGTCCAGGAGAACAGGTTATTACATATATGTTATATATGATATATGTGTATATCACACACACACACACACACACACACACACACACACACACACACACACACATATATATAACACAAATGCCAATTTTTATACGTAATGACATGACTGTCCTTTTCCTTGTCTTGACACAGACACTCCAGATTTGTCATTCTGGTAGGCAACAGTGTAATTTTATTTTTAATTTGTAGGTCTAATGCTCAAAGAGTTGAAAATTTAAAAACATCTTTCATGTCATTTGTGTTCCTTGTTTTATGAACGCCCTTCTCATAACCATGTCTTTTCTGCTGGGCCATTCACACTGATCTTTCTTCCTAGCCATTTAGTTTGTCTATCAAGGCTATAAATATTTTTCCTTTGTTACTTGCCTTTCAAATGTGTATAGAGCATTTTGTTTTCCATGAATCATATTTCAGCTTTACATAATTAAATCTTAATTTCTCCCCTTTTTGTTCTTATTTATCAAATGCTTTAGCTATTGAGGCTTCGTTAATATCCTCCTATATCATTATAACCATGTATGAGTTATTTTTGAGTATTTAAATCTTTATTGTTTTTGAAATTTACTTTGATAATTTTCTAGGTGAGAAAATGGAATATTTACTGCAGAATACTTATTGAATCTTCAACTGCCTATTTAGTAAACTGTCTTAGAGATATCAAGCACATACCAAACTCATAGATTATCCTTTGTTTTCTGATTTAAGTGTTTAAATGTTAGATAGCACTTCAGATGATATTATTGCCACTATAATTTACTCTGTCTGGAAACTGTGGAATAATTTTGATTCCTTGAATGTATGTATGTACACCATGTGTGCCTAGTGCCCACAGAGACCAGAAGATAGTGTAGGATCCTCTGGGTCTGGGGTTATAGGTGGTTGTGAGCTACCATGTTGGTGCTGGGAATTGAACCCAGGTCTTCTGGAGCCATCTCTCCAGTCCCTGATCCCCCCTTTTTTTCCTTGTTTACCTGCCTCTCTCTTAATGTGTCTGAGATTTAATAAAACTTGCAATTGGCAAACTAGTGTTTGGGAACCTCTTCATTAATGGAGCAGAGTGAGTTAGATAAATAATAGTCATCTAAGTAAATACTCAATCCATTGTCCCATTTCCCTCCAAACTGAGAGAGCTTCCCTGCTCTTCAAGCCTGGCATTCTGCACAGCTCTCTCCAAAGGACCACAACCCAGCATCCATCCTCTCCATCATTCAGTTATTGGCTTGGCATCCACCCTTTCCTCCAAGGCTTTGTTAATCTGTTAGCTGTATAGTGAGAACTCCCTATGGCCTTAGCTTGAGTTTCTCTATGGCAAAATGATGATAAACATTTTTATGGTTTTTTTTATTAAATTTTTGTTATCTGAATATCCTCCATGGCAAAAGATCTCTTCATGTCTTTTGTACATTTTCCAATCCTGTCACACCATATCAAGGCCTCCTGCTATCAGCATAGTTCATGGTTACTGATAGCTTTTGTCACTAGTTGAGATGGTGTTCATTAGGTTTTCCACCATTTCATGTTCCCTCTTGTACCATGCTGCACTGTGTGGAAGGAAGTGACTTGGCATAGCCAACCCTTAATGAGTAGGGGCTATGCTCCTCTATGAGGGTGGGGTAGCTAAAGGACTATTTGGAATTCTTCCCCATGAGAGATTTATTTATTCTCTCTCATTTAATAGTTTGTTCAATCATTTATTTATATGAATTAGTGTACTTAGTGTATGATTTGTGTTACAGGACAACACTTTTTAGTTTGTTTTATTGCTTGCAGTGTTCCCACTTTGGGCACTTGGAGGTCTTTCATTTGACTCCTGTGCCCCTTCCACATATCCCTGTGTGTGTGGGGGGGGGGTGGGGGGAGCTGCTGCTTGGTTGTGTTGTGTTTTAGCACTTGCATACTTCCTGATGTTTTAAGACTCTTTGGTCTCATCTCATCTATTTCCTGCCCTCATCCTGGAGTCATCCATTTCTTCAAGGTCCCCTGGCTCCTTATTGGAGAATGATTGAAATAAACATCTAGGCCCTAAAAGTACTTGCTGCTGTAAGATGTTACTGCTTTCGGAGCCTCTTGGCTGACAAGCAAGAGAGTCTATGTATATATACTAATGTGGGCATATGGTGCACATACATCTTACTATGCAGCACTCTATACCTATATTAAGTTTAATGGGAATTCATGGTGAGGTTCAAACTCTAATCCTGCATCACTGGGATCATTTTGGTCTTTAATTTGTCTATACCTGCCTCAACACACAATAATAACAACATATTAGTAGTTCCCACTATCCATTCACTTCATCATTCAATTCCAACATGCACAGTATCAAAATTGCTACCTTATGTTCTTTTAGAAAATCACTTTTCAAACTAGAATACAGGGTCTGCTTATAGTTCATTTTCATTTAGTTTAGCCAGGCCTAAGCCACTTGAACATAGTGGTTCAAGCCTATATTCACAGCACTCTAGAGGTAGAGGCAGGAGGATCACAAGTTCAAGGTCATCCTTGGCTACATAATGAGTTCAAGGCCAGTCTGGGCTACATGAGACCCTGTCTCAAACAACAGCAGCAACGTCCCACTGCAACTCATTTTCAAAGTTACTAGGTCAGCAGCTCCCCTTCTCTTCAGTGAGGCTTCTCTGGTCTAGTTACTTTTCTTCATAGACTGCGTTCCATCATGGACTTTTCCAACTAGATGTTACTTATTTTTTTCCTTTTAAATGTTGCTTCATTAGTTAAAAAGGCTATCTGTTTCTCTTTCATTGAACTGTTTTTGAAGCTTGGTCAAAAATCAGTTGGCAATATTTGCGTGGGTCTATTTTGAGTTCTTCTTTCTTCTTTGTTTATTGATGCATCTGTTCGATTGCCATGCAGCCTTGATACCCAAAATCTACTGTAGCCACATGGCTTTTGAAAGTGGCTGAAGGACTCCTACCACTTTATCCTCTCTGCCCCCTTTTCTCCAAATTTGTTTGGATGCTGGCCATTGTATGTTAACATGGTGAGTGACATGACCATATTTTTTTAAAATGCTAATCTTTTTATGTTGATCATTTTTGTTTCGACCCTCTACTGTAGTGATTGTTATGTCCTGCTCTTAAGATGGGACACTTAGTGGCTTCACTGATGCACTGTGGATAGTGAACCTTGAATTTCTCCTCATCTGATTCAAGTTTGGGAGCTGTTGGTCTCTCACTCTAGTTGCCAGGGTTCTAGAATTCAATGCACACACACTATTTGATAGCAAACTCTAGTGAGATAGCATCATTCTGGGATACAATGTACTTTAGTATTTCACATGCTTTATTTAGCTGAGGGGCACTGTCTTCTGTAGTAGCATTCCCTACATATGATCATGGCCTCCATCAGTTCCAATCTTTGTCTCCTTAGCTCAGTGAAACCATTGTGTTTGAGATCTGGCTGCAGGTGGAAGTCCAGGGAGACTGTGGTGCTCAGCTGCCATGTTTTGCTTCTTGCAGCCCAGGACTGCATGGTGTCTAGTTATTAAAAGAGTTTTATTTTTCATATATTTCATTCAGTCTTCTAGTTTATAGGTATAGTGAAGACAGGTTCCAGTTTTTTCACTGTGATAGGAAAAGTTCTAAATAATGTTTTTGAATCTTGCTTCATCTACAATAAAATTCTATTAAAGTATGAAGGAACAAGCTAAAGAGTCTGCCTCGAGCCTGGCATGTGTTTAATGTAGATATTGTGGTTGCAGGGATTGTCATCTATACCTTTGAGCATAGACTCTGCTAACTCAAAGCTTTACTAACCATAATGACTTTGGATAGTATTTGGTTGTTTTACATTTCCTAATTTACCCAAGGAAAGCATTATAAATGAATCAAATGATTATAGCCTTCTCTAAGTACTACCCAGTATACATATTATCCACATTGCATCTTAGAAAACAGTACATTGAGAGTTTGGCAAATGGCTCAGCTTTTCAAGTGCCTGCCATGCAAGTGCCTGAGTTTGGATCTTCAGCACCAGTGTGAAAAGTGGGGCACTGGCAAGGGGAAGGCAGAGAAAGCAGGGGAGTCCCCATGGCTTACTAACTATCTAGCCAGTCTAGCTAGTTAGTGAGTTCTGGGTTCATGAGAGACCCTGTCTCAAAGAATAAGATGGAGACTAGAGAAATGGCTCAGCAGATAACAGCACTGGCTGTTTTCCCAGAGGACCTGAGTTTGCTGTCCAGAGCCCACATGGGGTTCACAAACATTTATAACTTCATTTCCAGGGAACCCGATACCTTCTTCTGGCCGCTTCTGGCACCAGGTATGCATGTGGTACACAGACATATATGAAGGCAAAACACTTATACACATTAAGAAAAATGGACAATGATAGAGAAAGATGCTAAACTTCAACCTCTGGCTTCCACAGATATGTAAACCTAGAGTGCAGAAAGAGATACTGGGAGGGAAGGGAGGAGAGAGAGAGGAGAAGAGAATGAGAGAAAACAATAGATTGAGAGGAAATTGTAAAAGACTTGTTCAGGTCTAATTTGCTATCCTTAGTCAAGGAGAAAAGTCGTTTTGCACCTCTTCACAAATGCTATTCAAGAATAGCAGTCATTTAAGAGCATTGCATTTTTTTTTCTAATTTAGGTAAAAGAAAATAATAAGCAAGTCAGCTAGAAAGACAACTGTCTCAGACCCACAAAATCTCAGACTCATTAAACTAACAATTAGAAAATACACACACAACCAGCACTAAGAGCCCTTCTAGTGAAATAAGACAAAATGCGTGTTGACTGGAAATAATGTCAGTGTGTTAAAATGCATGGGAAGATTGATGCTTGCCTGGGTGTGGTGGGGCCTTGCTTGCAATCTCAACACTTGGGAAGCTGAAGCTTGAGGCCTGCCATGAGTTTAAGGTCATGTGGTGCACAGAGGGTGTGGCATTGACCTTGGGCTTGTTGGAGCAGAGTAGGGCTTTGGGGTGTGCCCAACCGTGACTGTGAAGGTTAGGAAGAGCCAGGTTGTTTCTATCACCATTGCTGTTCAGGTCATGGGTGTCTCATTTCAGAATTTTCAATGTCTGGATTCCCAGCTGAAGCAAGCTATTGTTCAGTAAATATCTCCATTAAGGCTGGTTTCCTAAATGGGTGGAAAGTGGCACTGATGTATTTATCTGTCAGAGCTTTGATTTTTGTCCTTCAGCCTTTCTCAATTGATGTGTTTTTCAACCAGTCTACCATGTGATGCTATCTGTAATGGTGTAGTCAGTCAAAGCCCTTCTCCTCTTAGAGTGATCACCCCACCGAGACACAGAGATCACTTTTTAAACAGGTTAAAACAGGTTAGTGTGAGGCAACCAATTTTTGTCCTTTCTATTGATATAAATTACTATCTTTATTGCAAGAAACAAATTTACCCGACGTGACTGGATTTTGATCATTTTAGGATGACCCAGAGACAGTGAGTGTTGTTCAACAGATTTGATTTGCAATAGTGGAATGCCAGGTACACAAAGAGTGTGAAACAGAACAGACATGAAATCTTTCAGTGTGAAATTCTTCCTCTCAAATAATCTGTGAGTAACATGTGGCAGTTTTATAATGTGAAGTAAACCGACAGTAGATAGAAAAGCAATTTAATGCTAAATAAGCCTGGAAGTAATTACCTGCAGACACCGAAGTGTTGCCTTCTGAAGATGGGAACAAAATATTTGGTTTTGCTGTTAGTTGATTGTGATGATTAGAGTAGTGTTGTTTTTTTTTTTCTTTTTTGCTTTCCTTTCTGTATGTATCTAAGCAAATGAGGGCTTGTTTTTAAAAATCATCTTTTCCATTTTTTTCCTTTTGAGAGAGATTGCCTTGGTGTAAAGTATCCTCTTCAGCTTTGATGAGAGGCCCTTAGGTTTAAAGAGTGTATTCATCTTATATCTGTTCCTTGTGATGGCTGTAAAATTGTTCAAGGATGTCTTTTGTTTATGAAATTTTTGCCAGCAAGATACTTCCTATATGGGGATGTTTGAATCACAGTGATATTGGATTGTATGCTAGTTTGGCATGTTACAGCAGGTTCTGTAGGCAGGTCAGAAAGTCCAGGATGTTGGGTCTCAGCAGGGTCTGGTTATTTTTGTTGGGGAAGAACAGACCAGAGTGGATGTTAACACCCTTTGGACCACCAGGAAGGAGTGTGTCAGATTTAGGCTAATCTCATGTTTGTAATTGTCACTCTAATCAGGCCTGATGCTCCCCCTGAAATTTTCAGTCCCTTCCCTGCAGAATCCAAGCATATAGAGGGATTAAGAAAGGAGAATCAGTTTTCACAAAGGACTGGAACTGAGTATACAACTGTGTCCACTAAAGAGCAAGTGTCCAAACCAGCACACTCAAATACTTGGCTACAAAATAATAAACTGTGAGCGTTTTGCTTCCTGGAACTTCAGAAAATAGCATGAAATTCAGCTACTGACTCCAAAGTAGAGTAGACTCATTAACATTGGGGACCTATGTTTGCTTTTCAGGTCAACCTCCAAAGGTTTATTCAGATGTGGGAATAACTTTACTTCTTCATGGACTTAAGGAGAAAGTCTTCTTAGCAATGCCTTTGCTTTATTCAGTTTTACTTAAGTGAAAAATTTCTTGTCTGGAATTTTTGAAGAGTCCTTTACTTTGTACAAATAATAGGAAGGGCTCTGTGGCTAGAGGTCATGATCATCAGCCTGTGTTTTTTGTCTCCTCTTTCTTTTCTTTCCTTCCTTCCTTCCTTCCTTCCTTCCTTCCTTCCTTCCTTCCTTCCTTCCTTCCTTCCTTCCTTTCTTTCTTTCTTTCTTTCTTCTTTTTTTTCAAGGAACTCATGGGGAATATGGGTACAGCCAATCACTGTTACTTTTCTTTATCCTTTAGGTGAAGAGTGTGACATTGACATCAATGAATGTGACAGTCACCCTTGTCATCATGCTGGAACCTGCTTGGATCAGCCCAACGGTTATACCTGCCACTGCCCTCATGGCTGGGTGGGAGCAAACTGTGAAATCCGTAAGTATTTCAGCTGTGAGCTATTTAGTGTGGGTTTTTCCTTCAGCAAGAAGAGGATACTAACTATGACCATAAAGCCCCCATATCACTGACAGTGAAGCCATGAGACTCAGAAGGACCACTTCAGTCGTCCCTGTCTCCAGAGTCCAAGTAGTACTTTTGTCTCTTGCTGTCCGGCATGCCTGCTCCTTGAGATTGTATCCAGCCTTTCCACTGGTGATGAGCATCTTCAGATGTCATCAAAGTTCACTGCTACTTAGTCAACCAAAAAATGTGCTTAACAGACAAGTATTAAAATACTAAAAAAAAAAATGCACCCTCTGCTCTGGAAAGTCTAAAAAGCAACACAGGATTTGAACATTGCCTCTTGTTTTCAAATGTCTTTAAATATAGCAGGTTCCTTCAGTCGCTTGAAGAAGAAAAGTCCAGTAAGGATGAACATGGAAAGAAGAGCTGAAAAGCAATGGGCTGTGGGTGAATAAACTGAACTTTGGATATGTCAGGATCAGGGTTTGATGTACTAGAATAGTGTAGCACCCTGATGGAGGTGACAATGACTGACATGGGATTTTGTTTTTATCTGCTTTGAAAACTGACCAATATTCACCACTGAGAGGCATTTTCTTATTTACTCATGGCAGAAAAGTTTCATCTTATTCAGCCAGGCTGGCTTGGGGAGTGCTGCCTCCCAGTTCCAGACGACTCTCTTCATTGGAACGGTGTTCAGAGAGTGTTTCTTCCTGAACTTCTCACTGCTGACTGTACTCTCTGAGGGATAACAGGGCTTGGGGGGTGGCTCAGTCAGGAAAGTGCTTTCTAGACAAGTATGCAGACCTGAGTTTAGGTCCTACATAAGAAGCCATATATGTATAACCCTAATGCTTTGAGGCAAACATACGAGGATCCTTCAGGTTTGCTCACCAGTTAATTTAGCCAAACCCATGATCCACAGGTTCCATTCATAGACCCTGTCTCAAAAACAAACAAACAACAAAACAAAATCAAAGTGGGTGGCTCCTGAGGAACACCACCTGAGGTTGAGCTCTCCTGGTCAAGTGTGGTCCCTTCCAACTTTGACATCAGTGTCTCAGCTCCAGTCCATTCTCTAAGATGGTCTGACAAGGTGGCAAAACTGTGTGCAATCTTTTCTTGATAGACAAGTTCCTCTTCTGGCCATAGCAGGACTTTGGGCATTCCCTTCAACCAGAAAGAGATTCCTGGGCAAATTATAGTTTGTTGGAGTCTACTGTTATAATAGTATGATAGCCAAAAAGAGAGACACAAATATCTCTCTTTAGTGTACTTTCTTTCATAACAAAATGGTTACAATTTATTTTAAGACCTCCATCTTGAGGGATTTGATGAGAAAATTCTTGAAATATGCCCATGCCTGAGACAACTGTTATAAAAAGAAGAGCCAAGATTAGAAGATAGTATCTGGTAGCCATGCATAAGAACCACCTCACCATAGCATCTTGGCTTTAGTTACTTTTGAAAGGGTTGGCACAAGTGACTCCATTTTTGTTGGCTGTAAGAGATGGTCTTACTATGAAATCCAGACCATCCTTAGACTCATAATCTTTCTTCATTAGCCTCTTTGGTGAAACTGGCTGAGCATGACATTATTTCCATTCTGATAAATCTTCCTCTATTATCTTAGAACAATCTTCTGTGAAGACATTACTGATTAGGAGATATGCTTGAACATCAGAAGATGAGTCTGTTTGTGATCATTCCCTAAATTTGTAAGAGGTCTGAAGTTTTTATTTTTGTCAGTGATGCAGATGTATTATTCTACCAAGCCAAAGATTCTAAATTTTATTTCAAGAGTAGAAGCTTAGTTAATGTATAAGGAACTTTTGTGTAGTTTTCTGTGGACTGGTGCTAACTGTTGCTTCCTCTTTTGTATGTTAAACATACAAACAATGGTCTCCTGAATTGATAAAGCTAGTATGCTTCCATCTAGAACTGGGATGGACGCTAATCCTTCCTAGGATGATGTTCATGTACTCCTAACTGGGTATAGCAATCTGGGTTGACATTTATCACTTTTAGGCCTTGAAATCTATTGTTTCATGAGTCCCTGGCTTTGAGGGTTGCTGATAAGAGATCTAAGGTTATTCTGGTGTTTCTGCACTTGTAGGGGAGTTGTTTCTCTTACAGCTTCTAATAGTGTTGGTTTGCATTGTATTTTTGACATCTTGACCATAATCTGTTGAGGAGATGTACTTCTCTGGTCAGTCCATTTGGGGTTCTAGATGCCTCTAGTGTTTGAATGTCTGATTCTTTTCCCAGACTTGGGAATTTTCTGCTATAATTTTGTTGGCTATAGTTGCTATGCCTTTAGTGTTCATTTCAATTCCTTCAGCCCATGGATTCTCAGGTTTTGTCTCTTGACCATATTCTAGAGTTTTTAGATCTTGTGGTCATGCTCTTTTAATTTATTTACTTTTTGTTATAGATGTTTGATTGTAGTGTTTCTTCAACCTGCCCTCTACCCCTTAGAGTCTTTTTTCCTGCTTGGTTGTGGCTATTGGCCATGCATTCCATTGTTGTTTTTAATTTGATTTTTGAGGATTTTTTTTGTTTCCAACATCTCCATTTGTTTATTTTTTCAGAATCTCCATTTGCTTGCTGAGACTTTCTTCTGTGTTGCTGACTTTTTCATCCACATGGCTGATGTTCTATTCATTTTCCTCTCATTTTCCCTCTATGTTGCTGACTTTCCTCTCCAGGCCCTGGACTAGATTCATCTCTTTGTTTGTATTCTTTCACAGATCACTCATTATTCTTATCAGAAATATTTTGAAGTCTTCACCTGGCACTTTAGGCAGGTGAGTTCAGTGGGTTCAGTGGTTGTGGAGTTAGGATCATTTGGAGGAGTCAGGTTGCCTTGGTTTCTTATGTTCCTTACACTTCTTTGTTGCGATCTATGCGTCTATTGGTTTGAATAGCTCTTCTGTGTTTAGGAAGTGTGTAGTGTTTTATCATACAGCCTGCTTTGAAGGCTCAATTCCCCAGTACAAGTAGATGGGAAGAAAACAAACTATTTTGAGAAACAATTACATCACACTATATAAAATACAGAAATAAACTTAAAAATCAAATATAGCACATCAATACATCATCAATGAATATAAAACTGAAAATGGCAAAACCACTGTAGACTATGACACGAAGGTAAAAAATTACCTGTAGTAAATAAGTGTGAATAGCGAATGAATGAGATAAGGGAAGGAGTCGAGAAAGGAGCAAAATGGGAGAGAGAAGCAAGTTTAAATCATCAGAAGGAGAAAGGAGGGAGGTGGGCGGAGAAGCTGGAGAGAGGAGCAGAGAAAGTAATTGAAAGAAAAGGAAAATAAAAAATGACTTCTCATTAATGACAAAGCTCAGAAGGTAAATTAGGAAGCTAAAAGGGGAATAAAATATTAAAAATGATAGTATTAAAAGTAATGAATTCAGAACACTACTAAATGTAGGTGGTTATTTTTTTTTACTCTTTGACTCTCTTGGGGGCCCACCACCCAGCTCCCAAATAAATGCATGGAGTCTTTTTCTTTCTTAAAAATGCCCAGCCTTAGCTTGGCTTGTTTCTGGCCAGTTTTTCTTATCTTAAGTTATCCCATCTACCTTTTGCCTCTGGGCTTTCTCCTTTTCTTTCATAACCTTACTTTCACTCTTACTCCATGGCTGGTTGTGTGTCTAGCTGGCTGGCCCCTAGCATCCTTCTCTCCTTGTTCTCTTGCTCTTCATTTCCCAGATTCTCCTTCTAGTTGTTCTCTCTGCCTGCCAGCCCTGTCTATCCTTTTTCCTGCCTCCCTATTGGCTGTTTAGCTTTTTATTAGACCAATTGGGTGTTTTAGACAGTCAAAGTAACACAGCTTTACAGAGTTAAACAAATACAACGTAAAAGAATGCAACACAGCCGGGCGGTGGTGGCGCACGCCTTTAATCCCAGCACTCGGGAGGCAGAGCCAGGTGGCTCTCTGTGAGTTCGAGGCCAGCCTGGACTACCAAGTGAGTCCCAGGAAAGGTGCAAAGCTACATAGAGAAACCCTGTTTTGAAAAACCAAAAAATAAATAAATAAATAAATAAAAATTAAAAAAAAGAATGCAACACATATTTACATTATTAAACAAGTGTTCCACAGCATATACAAATGTCTACAACAACTAAATGTAGAAAGAAATAAAAATGCAGGAAACAGAGAGGACAAAATAGAGAAAAATAGAAAAAAGAAAAATATTCCCTTTGAATGGAAAAATTTATAGACAGAATTAGATAAAGACATGGAGGGGAATAACAAATAAAAGCATAAAAACTCTTAAAAATACAACAAAGTAAGACTCATCTAAATACATATACAGTAAGAGGGTGGAGACTGGTGAGTTGGCTCTGTTAAGAGAACTGGCTGCTTTTTCAGAAGGCACAGGTGGTTTGGTTCCCAGCTTCTACACGCCAGCTCACAACAGTCTTTAATTCTGGTTCCTGGGAATCTGGACCCTATTCTGGGTTCCATGAGCTCTGCATGCATATGGTACACATACACACATGCACACAAAACACCTATACGTGTAAAATAAAAGTTTCAATAAGGGAGCATTTCAGGGGTTACCAAGAAAGAACAGAATGATGAAGTGTTGGGCCAGCTTGTTTGTTGGTCCTTGAAAATTAGAGTGATGTGGTGGATGTCAGTTAAACTGTGGGCTCCTTAAAGTCTGAAGAGTAGTCTTGATGGAAGCAATTTTCATTGCACAGGGACCTCTCTCTGTGGACCATATTCAGCTTTCCTTTCTGTATAATGTACAGACTCACCATCTCTTGAGACTCCTCAGGTCTTAGTCCTCCAGTGGCTGATGTTTTAGTTGGAGATGTCCCCCAAGTGCATAGGTGTGTAGGAGGCAGTCCTGGCACCAAGACTGGTCTAGGCAGAGGCCCATCTTCATACTTTCAAGACCTCCTGAGTATGGATCATCCTGCTGGAGGAAAATGGCTCTGG